AGCACTCGCAGAAAATGCCGGCCATACCCAAAACCCTCAGTGACGACTGGTGACGATGCATCAACCCTCCTCCCCTATAGTTGCTACAACTATTCATCCGTACTACCTACCTTTCGCCTAAACTAATCTTTCATTTACACTTTATTAATCGGCCTACCCTAGGTTAAATAAATCATGCATGAAACGGATGAAGAGTAATTTTTATGCATGTGTTTCAGTAGCAAGGTGGTGTAACTCGTGTTTACAGAAATGTAACCCAATTTGATAGAAAATATAATTTGAGTCAAGTTGAAATGTAAGACGTCTAAAATGAAATATACGAGAAAAAATCATTGATTCTAATGTACACAATGAAAAAAGATCCTAATTGCCCAAATGCATTTTGTAAGTAATGAATATGTTTTATTTTTACTATTAGGATTATAAAAAAGGATATAGTTAGAAAAATCATTATTTGTCATAAGCAGAGATTTATTTAGTGGTGTAACTTGTGTATAACTTGCGTATAAGAAGATATAACTTCATATAATATCAAATGTAAACAATGAAAACAAGGAGTTTAATTAATTGTTCAATAAATTTACGTAACTAGTGAATATGTTTTGATTTGAATACTAAGACAATAAAAATGTTTTAATGAAAAATTATTTTTTGCCAAAAACAAATACCTTTTTTGCTATAAAAAATCAATTTTCTTTGCAAAAAAATGATTTTATTTCAATAGCATGGTGTCATTTGGTGTAGTCGACTAAAGGATATTCTCAAACGGTGAACATAATGGGGGTGTTTGGCAATTGGCTGTTAGTGAAAAAGTTGTTGGCTGTTGACTGATTGGATTAATTAATTGGTTGGTTGTTGGCTATTTATTTGGTCAAAAAGCCAAATAGTGGTCCAATCAGCCGAAATATGGCTGATAGGCCATTAACCAAACACCCCCAACATCATCCAAGTACAAAATTGTGAGTTGAGCGGTTGTCTAAATAGTCATTGATTCACATAATTATATAAATAATGTGAAAGGGTCAAATAGGCCCTCGAAATTCTGAGTTGAGCGGTTGTACTCTAAATCTCATATTTGCCTCCAAATTAAAGTCTAACATAGGGCGTCTTTCCTCTAGAACCACATAAAACACACGCGTAAAACAAGATTAACAATCCGACATCATGAAGCTAAGGTATGGAATATAATTACGCTTACCGCCTAAAAAAATTGTTATGATGTAATCCCTGAATATGATCTAACTACAAAATCCTTAAATAGGACTATCCTTCTGATCCTACCCTCTTTTGTTTTAATATAATTAATGTTTTATTATGTTATGGGATAACATAATGTTGGTCCAAAATAAGACGCTCGTAGACTTTTGGAAAGCTACGTAAGAACACTCAAACAGGAATCAAAAATAATATGAGAATGGAAAGTTGCTCAGGAGTTTTAGTTGCCAAGAATAGCATGTCATTCATTTGAACCGGACTTGCCTTTTATAGGCGATTACATATGGTAACTGCCAAAGACACTAATGACTAACTTATTACATTATTAATACAGAATTAAATACATAATTAAGTCGCACGTTAATTGCTCTGGCCGTTACTGTTCTTGGCTGGCGGGTCGGCTTGGATGGCAGGCCGGGCGTTCGGGCTCCCCGGGCGGTAGGCTTCCGCTGGACCGGTAGGCAGGCCGGCTTGGGCTTCCGCTCCGCTGGACTTCCGCTCCTTGATGGGCTTGATCGGTTGGGCCAGCTTGAGATCCGGATTGCTCGGTCCGCTGGTTGGGCCTGCTGATCCAAGTTCGGGACCTGGGCCGATTAGGCATTGGGCCTAGTCCCCAAGTGCTCTCAATGAAAGCACCAATGCTGGTTCAAAATAGGACGCTCGGAGGCTTTTAGGAAAGCTACGAAAGAACACTCAAGCAAGAAAGTAGAAAGCAATACGAATATGGAAAGTAGCTAGTTTGAGAGCCAGAAATAGCATCTAGAATGCGCTTCCCTTTGTTTGAATTACAACGTGCCTTTTATAGGCGTATACAATTTGTAACCGTTACCGATACTAATGACTAATTAATTACAACATTAATACGGAATTAAATACATAATTAAACAACGCATTAATTAGTAATATTATTTTAGTAATGTAGGTCTTGTTTGAGTAAATAAATTTTATTTTAGTAATATTTGAGTAATGACTATTAGTCATGTTTGAGTAAATAAATTTTATTTTAGTAATATTTTTGAAGAAATCCTAAAAATATCGAAAAAATAAAAAATAATTTATAAATTTTAAAAAAATAAAAAATAAAAATATGTAGGTCTTTACTCCCGCCTCATCCTTATTAAATTTAGTAAGGATTTTATCAACGTAATGAGATTGACATAGCGTAAGACCGTCAGGTCCTCTAATTATTTTAATCCCAAGGATTTAATCGGCCAGCCCCATATCCTTCATGTCAAACTTAGAATTTAACATGCTTTTGGTAGAATTAATCATTAGATTATTGCTACCCATGATGAGTATATCATCTACGTATAAACACAAAATGACATAGCCGTCTACCGTGCCTTCACATAGACGCATGTGTCACTTCCGTTTATTTTAACCCATTAATTAAAATTGCATGATCGAACTTTTCGTGCCACTGTTTAGGGGCTTGTTTCAATCCGTAAAATGATTTAATTAATTTACAAACTTTCCTTTCTTGGCCTGGAACTCGAAAACCCTCGGGTTGTTCCATATAGATTTCTTCGTCTATATCGCCATTTAGAAAAGCGGTTTTTACGTCCATTTGATGAACTTCCAATTTCCGCAAAGCGGCAATTGCTAGTATCATCCTAATGGAATTTATTCTCGTTACCGGAGAATTCATGTCAAAGTAATAATGACCTTCACGTTGCTTGTATCCCTTAATTACAAGCCTAGCCTTGTACTTATCAATGGAACCATCGGGTTTAGGGGTAGTTCGGTACGGTATACCAAATATTTTATTGTATACCTTTACCATACCGTAAACTTTCGGTATGCAAAAATACATACCGTTACCATACCGAAATTTCGGTATACCTTGTTTCGGTATACCAAAATTTCGGTGCGGTAAGGTACGGTATCGGTAAATTACCATGCTTTAATATAAAAAATTATTATATGTCAAATGAAATAAAGAAAATCAGTGTTAATAGTGATATACTAAAATCATTAATGAAATTAATTATAAAATACCTATTTGTGTTCTTATCAACTTTTGACAAAAAATATTATAAATATGTATAGATATTTCAACACATGATATATGAAGATAACCACACATTCTGCTAAAATAATTTAAACAACATAAATATAATTAAAATAACACCGATCTCCAACAAAAAGTATATAAATAATTCAAGAGAGCCTTTCCACTTAGGAATCTTAACTCCATAGAATGGGCTTCCCTTTATAAGGGGTTCTAATTCCCTTGGGTTTTCCGGTGTGGGAAATAACTACACTAGAAACCCATTTTTTCTTAGTTTTCTCCATTTCAACGAGTGAACTTCGAGAATCAATTTCTCATTCACCCGTTATCCGTTTTGAACGTACCATATATCGAATTGTAGCCCCAAGCAAGGACAATCCGAAACCACTTTGACCCGGCCCAAATCGAAAGTGGATCCGTCCAAACAAATTGCCCCAAAATGACCATTTAATGCAATTTCTTAACACATTTTCCAACCGTGCCTAGGTGTGTGTGAAAAGGGCAAATGAATATCCGATTCGGCTCATCAGAATGTTTACCAAATAATTAAATACAAGATTTCTCAAAATTGCATTAATTAATGTCATTGAGGCATTTTCACAAACACATTTCAAGCAATAAAATTCAATACTAATCAGCCAATATTTCAATCACATAAATAAGCTCTAAACAACCCCCCTAACCCAACTAACTACTCATGCATTGCAAATAAAATAAATACATAGACCTAAAAGTGTATATATAAAATTAAAGACAACTTGAATTTAACTAAAGTAGAAGATGTAGAAAAATATCACCCGAATAGATGAGAAGCAATTCATTGAAGTGCAAGAGGAGAGAAGAAATGTGTAGAGAGAAGAAATGCAAAAACCCTGACTAAAATGTAAAAACTATTCTAATGGGTCTTCTCTAATGACCTCCCTCAAAAATGGACAGACTTGAGATATTTGTAGGGCTGAATTCGGCCTTGGAAAATGAATACAAAGGGTGCTGGCCTTGTTTTCTTCTTCGTACGCAGGCCGCAACAACAGCAACCAGGCTTCATCTTCGATCTTCTTTTCGCAGCGAGCCCTTCTTCTCTGAATCGAGGCACGTCGAAGACGAGAGCAACTGAATTTTCTTCTCCATCGATGCAGCAACAGATTCTTTTCTTTCGTTTTGGACGACGAAGGCCGGAAGATTCGTTGTGAAAAGAGGGTGTTTGCCGATGGTTGGATTCCGACGTGGAGCGGTGGTATGGCAGTGGAAATAGGTGGCGACGGGGGATGGGGACAACGTCAAATGCACAGGGAAGGGACGGCGGCGTCTCCTCCTATTCTTCTCTGAGCGCCTGCCTGATTTCCGTGTTGGAGTTAATCTTGTTGTTTATAATTTCGTCATGTTTAATTTAGTTTATTTGGAGTCATTGATGCATTTTAGACTAGAGTGTTAGTGCACGACGGGATGAGTCATGCCAAGTAGTGTGCGTCGCGTGACACCGTGTATGTGTTGTAGCGGTACTAATGTGCGTATGTGCCGTTGCATTAGTGTTAGTCTAATTTGAGTCAATTAGTTAAGTTGCACATTAGTTATTTGCATTTAGTATTATATTAATTATGTTAGTATTAGTGGGTAACCATGCACCAGTACGTACGTTTGGTACTCCGTATGTATTACGTGAGTAGTGTTAGTGTGCGTAGTGGGTTTGGGATGTAAGTGATGTAACCACCTCCGTATGTTGATTTATAAATAGAAAAGTATGTATGTGTCAAAGCTAATTAATGCTTTGAACACTAAAAGGAAAGCTACATGTTATTTTTCTTTCACCCTTATCTCCTATATACGAATGCAAGTATATGCTCTTACGAAATGTTTTAGTTTAGATTAAATACTCACCGTATACTTCCTCCCCGGCATTTCCAACACTTGGTATCAGAGCCATGGTCGGTGAAGGTTCGCGCACTCCGTCACGCTCGCCGGTACGACGTGGGCGGAGTCCGACGCGGCGAGGCGGCCGCGAGGTGGTTGTACAGCAGCGTGTCGTCCACCAGGCCAGCAGCACCGTTGTCTACCCGACGTTGACGGCGACGAACTATTTCGAGTGGGCGCTCATCATGAAGGTGAACATGGAGGCCCAAGGCGTGTGGGACGCTGTCGAGGGTGGCGGGAGCTTTAGCGAGGATAGGGTGGCGCTAGCGGCAATTTTGCGAGCCGTGCCACCGGAGATGCTCTCCACGCTTGCCGTGAAGGCGACGGCAAAGGAGGCATGGGACGCCATCAAGACCATGCGTGTGGGCGATGAGCGTGTCCGTGAGGCCAAGGCACAAACTCTACTCAAGGAATTTGATTCCGTTCGCATGCGGAGCGGTGAGACGATCGACGACCTCGCCATGCGCATGAACGGACTCGCCAACAAGATTCGCACCCTCGGTGAGACCTTCGAGGAGGTGAAGGTCGTGAAGAAACTTCTTCGGATCGTGCCGTCCAAGTACACCCAGGTAGCTATTGCAATTGAACAGCTTCTTGATCTTAAAACCATGTCCATGGAGGAGCTTGTGGGAAGACTCAAAACGGTGGAGGATAGGAGCGATGCGGACGACGGTGTCGACAACAATGACCATGGGGGTGGAGGTCAATTGCTCCTCACGGAGGAGGAGTGGCGTTCTCGCTACCCGCGGCGGCACCGGCAAGAAGAAGAGTACATTCGACATCCGTAAGGTACGATGCTATAACTGTCAGGAGTATGGGCATTTCTCCAAGGATTGCACAGCACCAAGGAAGGAGCAGGCACATCTCGCCTTCGCGACCGCCGACTACGAGCCGGCACTGCTGTGATGGTCCACGAGGAGTTCTAAATAAATGACAACAAGATTAAGGGGGTGATTGTTGGAGTTAATCTTGTTGTTTATAATTTCGTCATGTTTAATTTAGTTTATTTGGAGTCATTGATGCATTTTAGACTAGAGTGTTAGTGCACGGCGGGATGAGTCATGCCAAGTAGTGTGCGTCGCGTGACACCGTGCATGTGTTGTAGCGGTACTAATGTGCGTATGTGCCGTTGCATTAGTGTTAGTCTAATTTGAGTCAATTAGTTAAGTTGCACATTAGTTATTTGCATTTAGTATTATATTAATTATGTTAGTATTAGTGGGTAACCATGCACCAGTACGTACGTTTGGTACTTCGTATGTATTACGTGAGTAGTGTTAGTGTGCGTAGTGGGTTTGGGATGTAAGTCATGTAACCACCTCCGTATGTTGATTTATAAATAGAAAAGTATGTATGTGTCAAAGCTAATTAATGCTTTGAACACTAAAAGGAAAGCTACATGTTATTTTTCTTTCACCCTTATCTCCTATATACGAATGCAAGTATATGCTCTTACGAAATGTTTTAGTTTAGATTAAATACTCACCGTATACTTCCTCCCCGGCATTTCCAACATTCCGGCGGGTTGCTCTCCACCCTGCTTGTTTGTTGCCCCTGTCCATTGATGACAGTGGGAAAGGGGAGGCTTGACTGGCCATTGGCAGGTCAACCCCTGTTTGACTCGGGATTGAATTTTAATTATTCGTTGTCTTCAATTTGCTCTCGAGATGCTTCTTATTCTCCAAAAATCTGATAAAACACATAAACCCGATTAGTAGCATCCGTAATTAAAATGAAATTGAGACTTCAACAATTCAAAGCAAAATTAATGAAAAAACCAATCAAATGTGGGATAAAACAAGATTTTAAAATATGAAAATTAAAGCGTTATCAAGAGCATAGCCAAATAAATTAAAGTCTCTGACTCGTCTAAACCTCAATATAGATTTAATTGTATCACTCTCTCCCCTGAGTAGCTCTAAAAACAGAAGACTATCATCAACAAAGAGAAGATGGTACACCTGTGGGGGGCCCTCAACACACGGCGACCACATGAATGTCCACCCCCTACACTCGACATGTCAGAGAGAGACACTTAGACTCTGTAACTAAAATAAAAAGATAATGACCCCTGCCATAATCCATGATAGGGAGTAATAGGCCCAATAAACTTCCTCTCAAATGGGACACAATACTGGACAGTACTAATACATATCATAATCACCTGAATCCAGCGTGCATGAAAGCCAATCCGCTCCCTATTTCCACATAAGAACCCCCAGTTTATCCGATCAAGCTTTAATGCCGCAAAATCCCTCCTTCCCATATCTTTTCCTCTTAATAAAATGCTGATTCTCAAAAGCGACCATGATGTTATCCACGTTCGACCGCCCTGGTATAAAGGCGCCAACATTCCTTTCAACATATTAGCTAGCACTTTAGAGAAAATTTTATAGACCACTTTACATAATGCAATCAGCCTCTAATCAACCATATTAACAGGCTTCTCCTTTTTCGGGATTAAAACAGTATTAGTAGTACTTATATCTTGAGGCATATTCCCGATTAAAAATAGAAGCACAAATAGAGATAATATTCGCCCCAATAATATCCCAAAAAGCCGAAAAAAAACGCGAGATTCATACCATTAACTCTTGGCGCCTTATCTGGACGCATACCAAAAGCAGCCTTCTTCACCTCCTCTACCCTGTTCGGTCTGATCAGCTCTTGATTTTGTGCATACAAGACCTGTTTGAAGTCATTTCCAATCTCCCCTTATCGCCCCACCGTGCTAGAACCGAACAATCCCACAAAATAATCCTCCACAAGAATTCTCATTTCTCCTCTGCCGCTAGTTCAGACCCCGCTCCATTCTCCAGGCCAACCACTTTATTGGTTCGTCTTCTTTGCTTCATTGCATTATGAAACTATTTAGAGTTGCAGTCCCCCTTTTTTAGCCAAAACTCCTTAGCCCTTTGTCTCCAAAAACTATTTTCTTTTTTCCAATACCACAACCAGATCAGTGTCATTCATACATGCATAAATTCCATAAAACTATGTCGGTCGCATTTGTCGTGCAGCCAGGCCAACCTCCTTTTACATGCATAAATTTAAGCTCTAAATCCATGCCTTCTTCTCCGATTCCAACTCTAAAGTTCCTTCCCATAATATTTCAGCCTCTCACTAATAGGAAAAACAACCCCTGCCCACCAACTATACTCAACCACAACTCGACATCCTCCTCAGTGAGCAGATACTTTCAAATTTAAAGGGTCTACTTCCGCGTCCACCAACATTACGTTTAAATTCAACATATAATGCCATATGATCTCTTATCGGAGCTTCCACCGACTTTGCCAATCCTGCATTCAAAAAATCCCACTACACATCATTTATCAGAACATGGTCAAGCTTCTCCTCGACCCAATGGCATGTACCCCCCATCCACGATCCCATGCCCACTGATAGCCATCAAAGGGAAAGTTCCTAAGGGCACTTTTATACACTGCCTCTCGGAAACCCCTCATCCTCCATTTCGGATGTGGAACATGTCCCCTTTTTATGATGCGTACAAAATATCGTTGAAGTCGCCGATCACCAACCATGGCAGATCAGACCTGTTAGTCAACTGATGCAGCAGAGCCCACATCTCTCTCCGTCGTCCAGTCTCCAGGAAGCCATAATAGCCGGTAATAGGCCAGGTTCGATCCTCCATAAATGATTTAAATCTGCAATCGACAAAAGCAAATTGGGCGTCAATTACTTCAAGCTCTACATCGTTGTTCTAGGCTAAGAGCAGCCCACCACTAGTCCCTTCGCTATCGACGCCTACGAAATGTTGGAACCCCGTCGGCCGCACAAACTCCTGAGATCGAAAAGCCCTAGCCTTTGTCTCCATAAAAAAATAAGATCGGTGGCTTCTATTCTGACATCAATTGGGTGGTAGCTAGATTCCCCAAATCATCTACAATTCCAACTAAGTATACTATTCGTCTCGCCTACTCGTCTGATCAACCTTCGTTGCGCCAGAAATGATCACCACGGGTAGTTTCGCCGGAAAAACATTGCCTAGGAAACCCTAAAAAAACTCTAAGGAGAATAGATGGTTGAAAAGTATTTCTTGTAATTTAAAAAACGTTAAAAATTGTGCAGTGAAAGAATAAAGATTATCAAAAGAGAAGTAAATAACATGGAGTATTGACTTGTTGTCCACGTATTTTTACTCTAAATAGGTACTCCCTCCGTCCCTGAAAATACTTCAAACTTTTCCTTTTCGTCCGTCCCAAAAAGAACTTCACTTTCTCTTTTTGGCAAAGAATTTGTGGTTCACAACATTTCTCTCTCCTATACACAACTCTCCACCAAACAATTCCCACTTTATTTTGAAAGTAAATTTAGGGACAGAGGTACTAATATTTACTCTACAAGAAATTAAAAAAAAAAGGGTACTAGTAGTACAAAATTTCGTGTGTGAGCAGGGGAGTATGAGATGATAGCATCATCATATCAATGATATCATCAACTTTTATATAAAGTGACCATGTGATGGTTAGTAGTCATGATGGCGATATATCGATAAACTAAAATAGGTTTATAAAACAGCCATATATGGAGTAGTACCTTATTTAGAGCTCGTGTGTTAATACCAAATCGGATGAATCGTTTGATTGTGCTAAAACTTATGAAATTCTGATCGAAGTGATTGAATTGACTGATTCAGCTGATTTATTAAAAAAATTAAAATATATTTTAGTAATAAAATAAAGAAAAAATTATATGTAAAAATAGCGAAAATGATCCTCTACAGTAACTTCAGCCAATACATCCCAGAAAAGTAACTCCAACCTTACTTTTTTATTATTATAAGGCAATTCAGCATGCGAAATAAAAAATTACGCGTTTAGTGAAAAAGTTGAGTAATAAGCTGAAAAACTGGGCTACCAAACGGACTCTTAAACTACTCCCTCTATCACTCAAAACTTTGTTATTTTTTCTAGGGAAAATTATTATTAACCCCCTAAAATTATGTCATAATTATTAATGTTATCTTGCATTTTCAATGCAAATTGTTGTCATAATTATTAATGTAATCTTGCATTTTCAATGCAAATTGTTACCCCCCCTAATGTTAATATATTTGTTAAATCAAATTTAATATAACTCTTATATTCAATACAAATTGTCTATAAAAGTAAATTTTAAAGTAAAACACAAATTATTATCATAATTATAAGTTATTGTTGTTGGTCGTTATTTTTCTACTTAGCTACTCCATCGTGGAATAGATATTATTGAAACTAGTTAAGTGAAAATACTCACAAGTAAGATATAAAATATCATGAATTTTAATATTTTATTTAAAAAATTAAATATCGATTAAGCTTATAAAACTACTGTCAAAAAAGAATTTTTGTGCGAAAATCATCACAAATTAGTAACAAAGTTAATAAAAAGCTCAAATAAATCAAAATTAGGGGTGTGATCGGTCCGGTCTAGGTCGGTTTTTTGCTAAACCCAGAAATTACCAGTAACGTCTCGAGTTATGAAAATTAGGGATCAGAATAAAGCCCATTACATTGGTCTGAGTCAAGGTTTTGGTAGCTCGGGTTCGGGTTGAGCCGATTAAAGCCCTAACGTGAAATCATCTCATTTTTAATTTCTTTTATATTAAAATTTATTTTCAAATAAAATTAATCAAAAATACAAACCGCAAATAATAACACAAATATTAATCTCCAAAATCACCAACGATTCAAATCCAAAGAAGACAATTATCTTAATATTTTGTTTAAGATGCATATAAATAAATCATATAGCTTTTCTAAAAATATTATTAAATAAAATTTTTAATAAAAATGTGACTCTAGTTAATATCAATAAATTTTCATGATCATTACGGTATACAAAATTGAACATATTTGTAGTCACTAAAAGTTACTTAGTCATTCTTTTATCCACCATGATTATAATCATATATTAGGAATTGTTTATAAGTTAGATTCATATGTAATATTGATTATTTGATTTTATAATAAAGTTATTTGTTCCGGGTTTTTATCGGTCTGGGCCAGGTTATAGATTTTAGAGCCCGTTTATGAGCCTGAATATTCGGGTTCAGTCCGGCTTTATATTATTCGGTCCGGTTAAAAACTAAAAAAAACAGACCGGGAACATAATAATATAATTTACTAACAATTATAATTTACTAACAATGTGGCAGTTCACTCAAACATAAAGAACTTGTTCGGTGATACTATTTTTCTACTCATAACCTTTTTCAGTCAACTATTTTCCCAAATATGTAATTTTTTATTGCAAACGCTAAATTGTGTAATAATCAAAATAAGTAATGTTGAAGTTATTTTTCTAGTTGAATTGGCTGAAGTTAGTATAGATGACTAAGTTGAACTTAATACATTTTATTAAGA